TGTCCGTTTCTGCCCGTTTCTGCCCGTTCCTGTAAATCGTCGCCTGTTCCTGCCCGATCCATATCAATACAATACTCTTAATTTGTTGCAATCCTTTTAACAAATATACCTTATACTCGATAACGATACTTAAATATATCTAATATCTATATCTTATACCCGAAAAAAGTATAATACCGTAAATTCATAAGTAATAAGGACATAATTCTATATGATTAAGTCCGATTCTGCACCGATCATGTAACTGCAGTCATTTTATCAATTATATCTTATACCCGATACTGTTAATTAAATATATATAATATATATATAATTAATATATTTAATAATCAATAATTTTCTGTCCGTTCCTGCCCGTTTCTGCCCGTTCCTGCCCGTTCCTGTAAATCGTCGAACCCCCACAGCCTCCAGATCTGAGTAGAAACATCAGCCCCTAACAAATATTGCACAACTTAAATAGACGTTTGTGAATACGCAATAGCTGTATGCTAGCTATTGTTTCCACATATTTCATTTGGCAGTGGACACTGATCCAATTCCCCCTCACCTGTATCTTGTTCACTTATTGCAGCATTATTGTGTCAATACACATTCTTTGTACGTCTTAGAGATAATCTATGATACTCGTGATCCATATAGATAACTGACTTGAAGTGTTTATTTGTTAAGTCACCAGGTAACCTGACTTTTGTACTCTAAACGTTGTTCAGGTTCTGGTTTATATATGTACAATCAAAATCGTTACGGCGTTCAAAAAGAACACGCCCACAAACCGAACGGTTGTTTCAGCGTGTCACTCATTGCATCTGGCTCGTCGATTGGTCGATAGAACGTTTGAGGTCGGTGTCGTGCTTGATTTCAGAAGCAGTGTACAACATTGTATCTTTTTCGTAGACTTGTTGTTGGTGCGCATTGTCAACTTAAGATTACGCATACACGTATATTGAAATGTAAAATTTACATTGCATGTACAGGTTTCAAACCATGTGTCATGACTTCAATGTTTCGTTAAATGTATTACATATCCACATTTTCGTGAACTATACTGGTGTTTATGATTACAAGAGGGCAAAATGAAGAATATTACACATGCTTGAAAGCTGTCCATACCGGCCGCTGCACTGAAAAGTAACATTATAGAACGGTGCATGATTGCCATAGTATACTGTTTCGTTGAGCATTAGCATGATACATACACAACATATACAACAGAACGAAATTGTAAGAATATGCATATATTGCATGTACAATGCATGTCTTGATAAAAACTAAACAGTTTCAATTGTAATTGCAATATTTATTCAATATTGAAAAAATAAAAAATAAAAACGAAAACAATAAGGTATCGTTTTCCACCTTGGAAAGAAAATTAAAGATTTCCCACAATTGTATGTATTTGATCAGTATTGTTCAGCGGCGTTTTTTTAGCGGAACTGGGCATGGCTGATTTGGAACCGGGTCTGGAGACGGCTCCGTAGCATGACCGGTTGGTGGGGTGTCTGTCCGGCAGTGAACGTTGGGTAGGACATGACCGGTTGGTGGGGTGTGTGTCCGGCAGTGAACGAACTTGGGTAGGACATGACTGGTTGGTGGGGTGTCTGTCCGGCAGTGAACGTTTATTGGGACATGCCCGGTTTGTGGGGGTGAACGTTGTATGGGGCATGACCGGGTGAAACGACATTCTGGTTTCCGGGGTAGCGGTACATGTAACGTTCTGGTTTCCGGGGGTCGATATCTTGAAATCGGGGTATGATACATCCAGAGCCACCATAAACTTTTTAATAGGGTTACCACCGGTGTGTGTTTTCCTAGAATTGGCGTGTAGACTTCCGCTCTTTAAAACGTGTTTAAACGAGGTTGATGCACCTGACAAGTTTTTGGGGATAATTCCCCGGTAAAACTTTTCAAGCATGTCCTATCAGAGTGGATCGCCCCCATGCACAACGACCGGACACCAAACATGCCGACAGGATAGTATCTATCAATGTCGATGTTGACCAAAAATGGCAAAACTTTGCTGAAGAAAGTGTTGCATGTTTCATCTTGTGCTCTTTTTTTGACGGCGATCATCGTTTGCAGTTTTTCTAGCTCTTTTGCTAAGCTTTTCACGCACGCAACGGCATCGTTGGTCTGTTTTTTCTCGTTGACGTGCTTGTCAATATCGTTACAGTATTGGGGACCCTGGCATGGACCCAATTCACAATGGCGTTTTGTGTGACCCATACGGAGATGGCACTGACCACACTGAGACTTGGATTTATCCATCTTAATACTGGGGTTGCTGTATTTTTTCTCCAGTAGACACAAATGTTCCTTTGCACTTTCAAGTTCTATTTCCTTGACATTTATATCATCTTGAAGTTCATCGATTGCCAGCTGGCTTGGGGATTTATACACATTTGCTGATATGTGAATAGGGGAGTTGTATCCTGCCCCGGGATTCAATGTGGAGGATTCCCCGTTTCCTCCTCTTCTCTAAATAACTGTTTGGGTGCCATGCTGATCGGTTTAGAAATGTGTGTCACTGGTTTGGGCGACTCTCCTTCGAAAATCCTCAGCTTCATTCTCTTCATCAGTGTTCCCGCTATTGACGATGCACATCGAAAAGCCTCGGTCACACATGTATCCGAAACGGCAATAATCCAGCTTTGCTCGTCATCCAAATATTGAAAACCGAACATCTGTAACGTGCACCGTGGTCGGTACCTATTTGGTCCGTCCCAAGTGTCTCTCGGGATATGCTGTGCAGTTCCGGTAGCTTCGCCTTAGCGCACTTGCTTAGTAGCGCAGAGACTTCCTATATGTATTGGACCCAAGCAAACCTAATCACACTATACTTAGTATTATTTACAAAGGATTTTAATAACCCTATGATACAGTTGCATACAATAAACAGGGTCGTGCTACTTGCCACGGGACTCACAACTACAATACACATTTAACGTTAACAGGGGGGCTAGACAAGACCTACAGCGCACCGGCTTAACAACTAGCATACGACTATAACAAGCGCTCCCGGCATTAGTACAGCGCAGTGACAACCTTAAAGCTTGCGCACCGGCTCACACAGCGTAATAGCTACACCGTGCACAGGCCTTACAACCGCTAATCACCCTAACCTACTGCCTCACGACCACTGGTCACTTATTCAGCGACCAATAACTACCACGCTATGGAAATACTTCTTCGCCGTGTTC